CAATCAATCCACCCATCTCATCTACATGACTCAGTTAAATGCTATCACAACAATGACCCAATAGCAAAGAACTAAAATAAAAACCAAATTCTTTTACAGTCGTACTTTGGTATTCAACTGTTTTGAAGCTCATTGAATTTGGTACTCAACTTATTTTGACATGAAAATTTTGTCCCAGTACTCATTATTTGTTTGGTACGCAATGCACAAGTTAGAACTTGTGGGTGTCAGCAGCCTTGTGACTCATTACACTATTCCTTTTATGGGAAAATTGGTTTGGTACTCATCACACCTTCTGGAATCAATTAAAGACGGGTGCCACTATATTTCTTAGTTAATTATTTACAATTTCTGGCATCCAAGATATGGTATTTGGCAGGCACTGACTTTTTTCAAGCCAACCAGATATCTAAGCCACACAAAATTCTCAAACTCAGGACAACACTAACCGTGCTGAGATTTAAAGCCATCCCAACATCTGTTTGAGAGGAAATTAGGAGGCATCCCATATGAACCAATATTTTTGTCCCTGCAGTGAAAGCGTTCCTGAAAATTCCTGAAAATTAACCTATCTTGTATTATAGCAGCCTTAGAATAAAGCAGTTAATATTTCTCCAGCTAACAATAAATCAATTTCAAGTAAATCAATGTAGTTTTATTTCTCTGAATGTAGTTAATATTGATTTGCTGTTTCTAAAGTAGGCCATGCATTAATCGCACCAGTTTTATAATTATTGCTATTTTTTTTTACTTGTTCAGAAATGTTTTTTTTTCCTTTTGAATTGAATAATGTTTATTACTACTACTTTATAACTTGCCCTTTTATTCCAGGGTATAAAATGCCAAATAAAATGAAATAAAAGATAGACTGCTTCAAGAGTTTGAAACAGTAGTGATCCAAACTGAATATTAGAAGTTGGAAGGGACTTTGGAGGTCTTCTAGTCTAACCCCCCACCCCGCAAAAGCAGGAAATCCTGTACCTGCTTGGCTGAAATGACAAATGGCTGCCCAACCTCTTCTTAAAAACCTCTAATTAGAGCATTCACAACTTCTGGAGCCAAACCCTTCCATTGATTCATGGTTCTAGTTGTCAGGAAATTTTCTCCTTAGTTCTAGGTTGCTTCTCTCCTTGATTAGTTTCCAACCATTCCTTCTTGTCCTCCTCTCAGGTGCTTTGCAAAACAGGTTGACCCCCTCTTCTTTGTGGTAGCCCTGTAGGAAGTTAGCATCCACCCCTCTCCTAGAAAATTGAAATATCCTAGGAAATATTACAAAGGCAGAATATTTCCCTTAAAAAGAGTAGAAACTCAAGAGCAGAAACTCACTTTCTGCAAAAGTTCATCCCCACATTTGTTAATGGATAGGCCATTACAGCCTGGGCCAGAATACTTTACATAACAAACTATGACAAAGTCTGCAAGTAAAGCTATAGCAATTGCCAAATTTTAATATAAAAAAGGCACAAGAAAAGGATGTCCACTATCTCCTTTACTATTCATATTGATATAAGAATTGCTAAATGGAAATATTAGACATGAGATAGAAATTAAAGCTATGGAAATAAAAAGGGAACAATATAAATTGTGGGAATTTGTAGAAGATTTGCTCTTTATTCTTGGAAGACCCACAAGAAAATGGACTCAAACTGATTAGGAAAATAGAAGAGTATGGTGAAGTTGCAGGACTGAAATAAAGAAAAAAAATCAAAATAACTGTTTATAGATGTATAGAAAAAGAACTAACAAGGAAAATAGGTATACAGATAGTCAAGAAAGTTATTATAAATTGGTGCAACCAATTAAAACAAATTTGGTTAAGTGGAAAAATCTACAACTATCATTGATGGAAAGAGTAGCCACTATAAAAATTGAATATCCTGCCAAGATTACTATATCTATTCCAAGCAATACCAATAAAACTGGAGAAAAACATTTTGAAAAATTAAACAATATTTAAATATATTTGGCAAGGGAAAAAAAGCAAGGATAAACTTGAAAATGTTGCAAGATTCTAAAAATTTTGGCTATTCGATTGAGTTAAATCAATGACAGAATTTATGGGATAGAAATGATAAATTAACAATGTCTACTACATACAAAGAAAATCTTTATAAAATGTTTTATAGATAGCATTTTCCGCCTTCAAGGTTAGCAAAGATGTTTAAGAGTAACTCTGCAGAATGTTAGAAATATCATCAGATACCTGGTTCATACTATCATATGTGGGGAAAAATATTAGACAGAAATACAGACATGGTTTGCGGGGAGAAATGATAAAACAACATATAGATTTGAAACCAGATACATTTTTGTTGGGCGTACTACCAGACAGGTATAACAAAGGGAATGTATTTTACATGTATTGACTGCAAGGAGAATAGTATTTGCACAACAATGGAAAAGTGAAGAAATTCCAACTGATAAAGATGTGATTAGACTAAGCTAACACTTACAATTAAGGAAATGGAAGAACCTGAATTTTTTTTCTTCTTGGGACTCATCAATGGCTAGCAGACAAAAACAGGAAAAAGGGAAATATATGAAAGGATTAGTGATATAAGGAAGATACATTAGCATGAATATTATTGTTATAAACAGTAACATAATTGATACTAGCTCTATTGGTAGAACACAAAGAGGAAGAAAGATCTCTTTCTCACTCACACACAAGCATACACACATTTCCCACGTTTTTCCATGCTTTAAAATGAAAACTTAGAGGTACTCGCCTTCTTTCCAAGCAGCCTTTGACCTCAACACTTAAAAACCCCTTTAAAACCTTTTTTTTCCAAATGGCCAAGGTCCAGGAAAAACTCACCCACAGACTCAATGGGTCTGTTTACCGGCAAGGGAATCTTACCTGGTCCTGGTCCGTTGGTTAGGTTAGCTTGGAGTCCCTCATCTGCTTGGGTGCCAAATTGTTGAAAGAAATATCCTTCTGGGTTCAGTTGCAAGTGGGTGAAAAGATACTGGAAACATGGAGGCTGTTTGGAAAGATGGTTTAATGGTGGACAGCAGGACCACATGGCTTGGAGCTCCAAAGAAGGATGAACACATGCTCCAAAGAAGGAAAAGAGAAGGAAGGGCTGAGATGCTGAGAGTGCCTGGGTTTTATAACCTTTGTTGGGATTTGAATTGGAGCTTGTGTACTGATTAGTTATCAGACTCCCATGAGGCCATGCAGGGGCAACTCTGTAAGGTGTCCTGAGTTCCAGGCCGGGCTGAGCCTTGCTGGTGCTTTCAAAGCTTTATGCACTGAAAGGGCTTTTGAGCAATTGCTATAGCTTTACCTGGGGATCTTTGTTATGTAAAGTATTCTGGGCCAGGCCTTAATGACCCACCCATTAACAAGGGTGGGGATGAGTTTCTGCTTCTGAGGTGAGTTTCTGCTCTTGAGTTTTTAGGGAAATATTCTGCCTTTTTAATATTTCCTAGGATATTTCAGTTTTCTAGGAGAGGTATGGGTGCTAACTTCCTACAGGCCATGGCATTTTCTTTTTTTCTTTAAAGCAACCTGTCTCAAAAGGACCAATTCTGCATCAGAAGAAGAGCTTTCAATTTTGCAGGCCATAAGATGCACCTGGTTATTTCCCACGAGTGACTGCTACCTACCAATGGGTACATAACTCTGGCTGGCAATGTTAAAATATATTCTCTACTCTTTGAGTGGTCGAGAGAGATAGCTCAAGTCGCAACTTGTAAATTATCATTAGTGGGTCATGCTGGTTAGATATTTATTATAGCCAACATAACCAATAGCCACAGCTTATGGAAGGTTAGAGCACTGTGGCTTTAGCCAGCTGCTATCTTTGACCCTATGACTGTCACGAGGATAAGAATGGGCAAAGCCAACTCTGCCACCTGAAAATAAGGGAAGGAAGAATAAGGAACAAGGCTTAAGCCAGGGGTCTCCAACCTTGGCAACTTTAAGACTTGTGGACTTCAACTCCCAGAGTTCCTCAGCCAGCAAAGCTGGGAGTTGAAGTCCATAAGTCTTAAAGTTGCCAAGGTTGGAGACCCCTGGTTTAAGCAACCAGGATCCTTTAAATTCATTGTTTCATCTGTTCCAGTGCTCTTATGCACAATCATCCATAGATCCATTTAAAAACAAATAACTTGGGAGGGACTTTCATATGGTGTTTGGAAGCTGCAGTCCTAATGCTTGCATACAGGCCCAACTGCGGTCTGAACTTTTGGCATTCTTTGTTGCTTATGTGCATTAAGTGCCCTTCTCTGGGACAGCTTACAGGGCATGGGGGAAGGGAGGGAGCAGCCTTCATTCTCCTCCTGCTGGTATCTACCCTGGTATCTCCTCCTCCTCCTCCTCCCTGGAAAGACAGATGGCCTAATAACAATTATTGTCTCAAGGTTGAGCTAAGTAATCTACATTTGAACTGGTGCCATTCAGCTATAGTCCCAAACAAAGACTCAGCCACATGCTGGCTTCAGGTTCTGAGGGATGCCTTGAAGACTTCATTAGTCTTCCTGCAGGTGAGAAAAGGCAGGTGCCTCTTGGGACTGAAAGCCCCCCCCAACAGCTGTCCCAGGGGGCTGTCCCTTCTTCACTGAAACCCCAAAGTGTTCCACTGACGCCATTCTTCTAATTCAGAGGTCTCCAATCTAGGCAACTTTAAGACTTGTGGAATTCTGGGAGTTGAAGTCCACAAGCCTTCAAAGTTGCCAAGTGTGGGGACCCCTGTTCTAATTTCTCTCTCTTACCCAAAGATGTTGGTGGCTATTCAGATTCAGCAGCCTTTCTGTGCTGCTCCTCCCCCATTCCTTTGTGCTCCTGGGAGATATTTCCTGCACGAGTCACAAAAGCTGCCAGGAATCAAGATTATTGAAGCTAAACTCCAGCTTCTCAAACATGCACCTCGCCTTGCCATCACACCACTTGATGTGCGTCTATATGTACAAGGAAGAGTGGTGGGAGAAGGCAGGAAATCTGGGACTAGCAAGCATTGGGCGCTTCCTGAAACTTTTGTGCACTCAAGATGAAATGGTGGCTCAAGTTAATACTGCCCCAAGGAGCTGCTGATCCAATTCCTCTACAGAGGAATTATTGAGTCTATCATCTGCACCTCTATAACTGTCTGGTTTGGTTCTGCAACCCAACAGGACAGACACAGATTTCAGAGGATAATTAGGCCTGCAGAAAAAACAATGGCTACCCAACTGCCTCATATACATGTACATATACATATATTAAAAACCGGCTGATAGAAACAGCACGGGCTATGGAATATCTACTCTTAACCCTAGACTTATATATATATATTTTCCCTGACAGATATTGTAGATATTCAAACTGGATTGTCAAATATATCAGAATTTACCTCAAGCCTTAAATTCCAAAGTTGATTTTAAAATAAAATAAAAACAGGTTGATAGAAATAGCATGGGCTATAGAATATCTACTCTTAGCCCTAGACTTTTTTATATATATA